AAGCACCTACCTAGAACAAGCTAAGCAAAGCCCAGGGACCACGGTTCAATCCCCCAGCACCACATGCCAGCCAGCCCCGCCCCCTGGTGGGCTGAACTGGCCACACACACACACACACACACACACTCACACACAAATAAATAAAATTTATAAAAAAAAAAAAAGATAACTCAGTGTCCCAGAGGTTAACTGATTTGCCCAGGACCACATGGAAATAACCAAAGCAGTGTGATCTGGTGAAGCTAACAGGATTCAGGCAGAACAGGCAGAAGAAACATCAGTGTTCCAATCCTGGTTCTTTCATTTACTAATTATATGACCTTAGAGTTGTGCAATAGCATAAGTAAGTGAATAAAGTTGTAGATATACTAATTAACTTTAAAAATCTAAAAGTCCTAGACAAACATTACTTTTGAGAATGCAATTTCACTTGCTATTCAAGGAGACCCCTCTAAATCATATGAGATGAAAAATATTACCCTTCAATGAAGGTTGAATTCCTGATATATAGAGTTTCGTAGGAAGGCAGTATGAAGTTATAAAAAGAATACAGGAGTTACTTAGTGTATCACTTCAGGAAAGCCATGTCAACCATCTGAGCCTCACTTATGAAAATTTGCAAGTCAATATAAAAAACGTTAAGGATATGTAACTAATATATAATATAATACATATATATAGTACAGGATCTCACTACTCAACTCTGGCTTATAGTGATCCTCCTGTTTTCAGCCTCCCAAGCACTGGGATTACAGGTGTGCAACATCATGCCCAGTCTCGCTGGCCAGCTATGCATGCCCAGGTGCAGCATGTGGTGTCAGGGATCAAACCTCAGTCCTGGCACTTAGTCCACTGAGCTATCTGGCTGGCCCTGTTATAATTGTATGATTTATTTTGTCAAAAATGACCTTGGGGGCCAGCCAGATAGCTCAGAGGACTAAAGCTCCTGCCTAGGCAGACACAGGGACTCAGGTTCAATCTCCAGTGTGCAGTGCCAGCCCTGCCCTGGGGATGTGCTAAGATGGTGAATTAGACTGGGCATGGTAGTACACGCCTGTAATCTTAGCACTTTGGAGGCTGAAAACAGGAGAATTAAAAAGAGTCTGATCTATGTACTGAGAGTAGTGAGACCCTGTACTAAATACATTTTTTTAATGACACCTTGGATTACATGTATGGCACATACCTGTCATCCCAGCACTGGGAAGGCTGAGGCAAGAGGATCACTGCAAGTTCAAGGCCCAGCCTGAACTGCATAGTGAAACTCTATCTCACTATACAGAAAAAAGAAAAGAACATTAAAAAAAAGAAAGAAAACTCTGTATTTATGTGTACAATACTGCTTTTCACAGTTTATGAATGTTTTATTTACAGTGTGAAATACAATTCTTTTTTTTTTTTTTTAAGTTTATTTATTTTTTATTTATTGTGTGTGTGTGGCCAGCTCAGCCCACCTAGGGGGCGGGGCTGGCTGGCATGTGGTGCTGGGGGATCGAACTGCGGTCCCTGTGCTTTGCTATGCTTGTTCTAGGTAGGTGCTTTAGACCACTGAGCCATCTCACCAGCCCCTTGAAATACAATTCTTGATGTCAAATAATAAATGCACTGTAAAAGTTTGCTGAACCAAACATAATCTCATGTGTAGTTCTTTATATTTTCACTTTAACCCCGTTTCACAAACAAGATTAAAAAAAAAAAAACAAATAAGATCAAGGGAAGTCAGTGTTTTGTAAACAACTTGTTTAAATAAGAGCTTTTGAAAGAATAACTTTGTCTTGGTTTTAAAAAGAAAAAATCAGACTCCCCAGGAGGGAAAGACTAGCTTAAAATCACTATATGGAAATTTCTTCAAAGTTCCAAAGCACCAATAATGTATAATGACTTTTTTCTCTGCTCATTAGTTATGCTTAATAACTTGACAAATAGTAGAGAATGGGAACAGCCCATAGGAATAGGAATAATGGGCTAAATTTCAAAAACAGGCTTAAAATTTCCAAGACTGGATTTTTTTTTATGACACAGCAATGTCAATTTGAAAATGTGTGTTTCAGATTAATCTATTTTAAGAGAGCAAAACATACCTCATTGCAAATCTGTTACGATCTAATTCATTGTAACAATGTATTGCCTAAGGCAGAGAAAACAGATTTAGCTATTTTTTCTAGCATAAAGACTGAGATTTTAAGTCTCAAATTCCTCATGTGTGCATTAGAAAAAATAGAGTTATAACTACTTTGATGATAGAAAAGTTAGAGATGGTATAAAAGTTAGAGATCGGG